CCTGGCTTCCTTTCGCCCCAGGAAAGGACCTTGATGGTGGAGACCATGAAGAGGACGCATTGCGCGTATGCGTTTAATGATGACGAGTGTGGGAGGTTGGATGTGGATAAGATCCCAATGATACGAATCCATACCGTCCCACACGAGCCAYGGAACCTGAGAGGCGCGCGGTACCCTCCGGATGAGGAGAAGAAGGTGGTGGATTACTTGGATGGGAAGATGAGGACGTATGCGGTGGATTACTCCAGTGGACCGTATGCTTCCTCCAGGTTTTGTTTTATCAAGCCGAACAGAACACTGCGGTGGGTGCAGGATTTGCAACGACTGAATGCAGTGACGGTGCGGGATGYGGGAGGATTGTCGAACGCGGACGCCCTGTCAGAGTCATGCGCAGGGAGGCCTATAATCTCACTTATAGACCTTTATTCTGGGTACGACCAGTTGCCTGTGTACCCACTGGACAGGCCGTTGACGGCGATGCATACGCCAAGGGGGCTGATCCACATGAACGTGGCGCCTCTGGGGTGGACTAATGCAGTGGCGATGGTGCAAAGGCACATGATTAGGGCCATGCAGATGATTAGTCCGCATATCACCCATCCCTATATTGACGATCTGGCGGTCAAGGGACCAAAGGAGAAGGAGGAGGACGAGGTGATGCCAGGAGTGAGGCGGTTCGTCTGGAAGCATGTCCAGGATATCGATCAGGTTTTGGGTCTGCTGGAAGAACACAACCTGACGGCGAGCGGCCCCAAATCGAAGCATTGTATGAGGGAGGCCATGATTCAGGGCTTTGTCTGCAACGAGAAAGGGCGGAGGCCAGATGTGAAGAAGACGGACAAGATCCTAGAGTGGTYAGTCCCCTTCCAGTCGATAACGGACGTGAGGAACTTCCTTGGGACCTGCGGGTTTCAGAGGAGTTTTGTGAAGGACTTCGCCACCAAGACAGAGCATTTGAGGAAGCTGGTGCGTCAGGATCAGGAGTGGGTCTGGGGCGAAGACCAGGAAAAGGCTGTGGAAGGGTTGAAGAGAGAATTCAAGGAAGGGGGCTTAGTGTTGGGAGCGCCAAACTATGAGGCTACGGAGGAGAAGCCATTCGTTGTCGAGACGGACGCTGGG